ACTGCTTTTTTTCGCAATTTGAATTGGTGGATTTCATTCAGACTTTCGGTACCCGGCTGATCTAATGAAAGGAAGGAATCTCCGTATGGTGAAGCTGGGGCATTAATTATACAATGTTTGAATTGTCGGACATCAACAGTAGAATTATAGCAATCAACGTCCCATTCATTTCCAGTGAGAGTTTTAGACCTTGTGTCTGTATGACGTTTTGCAACTTCAAGTTGTAGATTATGGTTTTTAAATTGGATATCACCATTCAAGCGTGCTCCCGCGTGAACCTCTGAGATCGTTGTTAGCTCATCTTCTTCAATCACAGCTGACTTTATACAACGAAATGACGCGACAAATTTTTCAAAACTTTGCCATGACTTGGCTTGCAACGATGTTACTGGATTCAAAAGCGCTCTTTGCTCTCCATAATCAGCAAACTCCCAATCCCGAAGTATTGGATCTCCTAACTGTTGAGACATTTCTACAAATACCCAGAGCCAGATGTACGGTGCAGTGAGGTATCCTTTTGGAGTATTTTCTATTTGCTCAAATCTAATCAACCCACACCCAACAAATTCATCTGGTGTTTTGTCAGTTTTTGGAATAGGTTTATATCTATTTAAGAGGCGTCTAGTCAATATTGCTCGTGCAATGGGCCTGGCTTCTTCCACAGAACTAAAAATAGCATCACGGTATTTTTTAGTAAGGTTATAACGCAGATCGTTCATAAAAGTATCGACATTGCATTCTTCAATGCTACGACCTGCCAAGCAATCATTCAGAACTTCTAGGGCCCTTCCATGCCCTCCGCAGTCTTCCACAAGAGTGTTAGTAACCTTATCATTTTTAAAGACCGGGACCAAGCTATCTCCCTGTTTATGGTTTGGGGATTGTAGAGAAGCGACCGGAAGGTATACGCGATCCCGCGTCGAATATCTCAACGTACCATCAATCGGTCCAGTGATAGTTGAGGTACAAACGGGTATCATGAAAGTGCCACTAAACGCTAGATCTGCAAAAGATGTCAAGGTTTTGTAAAATGTAGAATTTAACTTTAAACCATCATCTTTGTTCTCCATAAGCTGTTGCATGCCGTCAACAACCAAAATGATGGTAGCACTTTTCAAGTCTCGGTTATAGTGTTTGGCAATCAATTTCACAACATCCATCGGATTTGGTGGGTAGTATGTCTCGATAATTTCATAAAGATCCATCTTCTCTCTGAGAAGTTGAAATAGCATACGAGTACCGATGGCAAGATAAGGGTTGGATTCTTCTTGTTTCAAAGAGAAGCCATTCTCATAGCTGACATGGAATACCCAAGCTTCTTTAATCCTGGTCAACAGCTCCCTATCTTCTTGAGTTGACAAACATGTGATTGCCGTCTGGTGGAATTCATTAGCGTTTCGAGATTTTCCGGTACCAGCCCCAGAAAGGAAGAGATATATTGGAAGATCCGACTTTTTGTCAATACGCCCTAAAGTAAAATTTTTATAATGCTTTTTAAGCGCTTCTCGCAAGATCTGCTTCAAAGATGGGTCAGGTTGATACTCCCAATTCGCACCAGAAGTGCGAAGCAAAGGTTCTGGTTTCATGTATGGCAATCCTAGCATATGAATCGATCAGCCTCGATGTAAAAAAACGAGGTTTCGGCGAGAATTACTTAATACATACCTCCAGGAAAGACATCAGTGATTTTTTTCCTAACTTCTACATGAATTGTGTTTTTAGGATTTTTTTGAGGGTAAGGAGTAGTAAAGTAAAAAAAGCACAAGATTATATATTAGACGTTTCATAATTAAGACTAAGAAAATAACCAACGAAAAATCAAGCCATTTCATGCTCACTCGCGTTGACCAATTTATTACGATTCACTTACCAGCACCGGATTGCTCTACGATAACGCAATTGTGTTTTTTGGCGGGTTTGACGGTAAGAAGCAGGAAAGCAAAGCACAAGATTATGTAAGTATTCGGTATTATTGGTGAATATGGCATGGTCTGGACGAGAAAGAATTTACATACTCTACCTCCTTTAATTTGTTTAATCAACCTTTCAAGTTTTTTGGCAGGAGCGCCCGGTATTCCCCATCTTTCAAAATCTACGGAAATAAAATCAAGAAAGGTATCACCCTTAACTCTCTGATTATATATTATATTGATATCATCGTCCTCAAGGTCCAATTCAACTCTCCTCCCTTGCAAAAATCCTTTAACCTCATCTCGACTTAATCCATTAATTTCTTCAGTTGTCGGGAGACTAGCCGTAGGAGCACTCGTAAAAGAACTTGAACTCGCAACGTTGTCAGACATGGTGATAAAAAAGTGGTAACAGTCGTACAGTTCAGAAAAAGAAAAAAAATTTGCAATGGGATATAGTAATAAATCGATCGGTTACGCAAATATCTCATAAGCCACACAAAAAAGTGCACAGTCTCTGATGTCACTACTTTTTACATATTACTGTATTAAGTGATAAGCGAGAAGTATATGCAAGCGATAAAAAAATAAATACAAGATCGGGACTGTGCCCTGGGATACATGGCGAATTTACTATACTATTATACATGCTTATTTTTTCTTGATTATATCTTCTATACGGCACACCTTATTTACTAGCTGATACCTATCTTTTAACAAACCCACTATAACCTCTAAAATCCTCTTCACGTTCTTGCGCAAGTCGGTGGGATCTTTGATGGCGTATATGACGGAGTATCGTTATCACATTCACATCGCTTATATATTCCATCCGCCACCTTTTTGCATGTTTTGCAATATAGGTGTGAATGATGATTGCATTCGTCACAAACCTTACACCCGCGCTTCCACCCTTTAAAGATATGCCACTTTTCGATATAATTTTGTTTTTATTTGTAAGTATACTATATCCTTTCATTGTTATATGTTGACAGAAAAAAAAATACGTGGCTATTTTTTTTTATCATGTGTCTTTCGACACTGGTTCTGCTATACAAACCAATATGTGACACCATATACTTGTGCCCCGTCTTACAAATTGCACAAATTATATGTCTACGATATTCATATATTTTGCAAGTGATTTTGTAACAATCACTCAAATAAATTATGTTTAAACCTCATAAGAAAATATGAAATTTGATCTTTTAACAAGTATACACAAAACTATGTAATTTTGATATAATCAATACTTAATGTTAAAACAAAATTTTTATTAATTTTGGTGACTTAATGTATTTTAGCTGTTCTGGTTCCACTGACCGATCGGTCAACCAAAGTCACGTGATTGTGGCGCAGTAACGACGATCTCATTCAAACTCCTCCTCTATAGCATCAATTTCGTCCCAACTTAATTTGGAAATTCTCAATGCCGAATAAGATCTTACCCGTTGTATTTTATCCTCACCTATGCTACTAAAAAGGTCATAAATTTTCCTTGCTCTTTCTATTCTTTTCTCAATTGCATTTTTCGAGAGGTTAGATGGGAGCTGTTTTTCAACTTCTTTATAAAGTTTTCTTTGAGATCTACACTCTTTATTATCTTTCATATACTCGGCTAATCTTTCCTTAAGCTTTTTTCCAAAAGCAAAATAGCATATAATAATTTCTTGATTCACACTTTCAATTCGTTCTTCAGCCTTAACAATTGCACTATATAAATCAGAAAAATTACTTGGGCTTGTGATAGATTCAGCCTGAGAAGTGGTACTACTTGTTGAAGAACTTGGCGATTTCAGCTCCCCAATAAGTTTTTTTAACATAGATATATTTCCGTCTTTAGTCTTTACTTTCTTACTAGATAATTTATTTTCAGGGGTATCTTTACTAGGTCTTTTACGGGATTCTTTTTCTAAAGGGATAATGCTTTGGTCTGTTGGACGATTACTTTTACCATCTTCATTATCATCTACATCCGACATATCTTCTTCTATAATTTCTGGCAAATCTTGAGATTGGATACTATGTTTTTCCATCCTTCTAACTACTGATGATGTACTTGATTCAGAGCCCCTTCTATGCCCTGTTTCAATAATTTCAACCTCCTCACTACAACCAGAAAATGGACACGTATTTGAAATTGTAAGTAAAAGTTTTTTTTCAATACAAAGTCTATGAAACACATGTCCACAAGATAGTGTTGTAAATGCCTTAAGAGGAAACGAAATAATTTCTTTCCCACATTCCGAACAATTACTTAGATTTGGAATTTTTTTTCCCTTAATAATACTATCCTTGAAGGTTTTTAGAATATTATATGCAAGATTTTTGATGTTATTAATGGGAGTAGATGGTGCAGAAGTAGAAGTGGTAGACATATTTCAATTATAACCAGATAAGTTTTACATAACGAAATCTCTTATACTTTGCTTATTTTTATAGTTTATTCTTCACGACTAACAAACCTAATTTGCAGATTTTATAAAATCTCATTTCGGATTTGGTGATCTATTCATTCAGAATTAATTAGTATGGGGGAATCGCTTGATCTTTGCTGGCAATCGTGGATAAAAA